TTCCAATAGTATTGTTTAGCCATTAGGATTGGTTTCCAATAGTATTGTTTAGCCATTAGGATTGGTTTCCAATGGTCTTGTTTAGCCATTAGGATTGGCTTCCAATGGTCTTGTTTAGCCATTAGGATTGGTTTCCAATAGTCTTGTTTAGCCATTAGGATTGGTGTCCAATGGTCTTGTTTAGCCATTAGGATTGGTTTCCAATAGTCTTGTTTAGCCATTAGGATTGGTTTCCAATAGTCTTGTTTAGCCATTAGGATTGGTTTCCAATAGTATTGTTTAGCCATTAGGATTGGTTTCCAATGGTCTTGATTTATACATTGGTGGTGTCCAATGGTCTTGTTTTAGCCATTAGAATTGGTTTAATAGTATTGTTTAATACCATTAGGATTGGTGTCAATGGTCTTGTTTAGCCATTAGGATTGATTCAATAGTCTTGTTTAGCCATTAGAATTGGTTCCAATAGTATTGTTGTATTTAAGTTGGTTTCCAATAGTATTGTTTAGCCATTAGGATTGGTTTCAATAGTCTTGTTTAGCCATTGGGATTGGTTTCAATGGTCTTGTTTAACCAGTAGATGGTTTCCAATGGTCTTGTTTAGCCATTAGGATTGGTTTCCAATAGTATTGTTTAGCCATTTAGGATTGGTTTCAATGGTCTTGTTTTAAATTGGTTTCCAAATAGTATTGTTTATACATTAGGATTGGTTTCCAATAGTATTGTTTAGCCATTAGGATTGGTTTCCAATAGTCTTGTTTAGCCATTAGGATTGGTTTCCAATAGTATTGTTTAGCCATTAGAATTGGGTTCCAATAGTCTTGTTTAGCCATTAGGATTGGTTTCCAATAGTCTTGTTTAGCCATTAGAATTGGTTTCCAATAGCAGTGTCTAGCCATTAGGATTGGTTTCCAATGGTCTTGTTTAGCCATTAGGATTGGTTTCCAATAGTCTTGTTTAGCCATAGGGATTGGTTTCCAATAGTATTGTTTAGCCATTTTAGGTGGTTTCCAATAGTATTGTTTAGCCATTAGGATTGGTGTCCAATAGTCTTGTTTAGCCATCAGGATTGGTTTCCAATAGTTGTTTAGCCATTAGAATTGGTTTCAATAGTCTTGTTTAGCCAATAGAATTGGTGTCCAAAGTCTTGTTTGGCAATTGAATTGGTTTAATATTATTGTTTTGCTCATTAAGTTGGTTTCCAATAGTATTGTTTAGCCATTAGGATTGGTTTCCAATAGTATTGTTTAGCCATTAGGATTGGTTTCAATGGTCTTGTTTGTAAGAATTGGTTTCCAATGGTATTGTTTGCTTAAATCCAAGTTGGTTTTCAATAGTATTGTTTAGCCATTAGGAGTGGTTTCAATGGTCTTTGT